ATTATTGAAAAACAATTTAATGATAATTTTCATATTAAGTCAAGGTGAAATAAAAAGAAAAAACTAAATAAAAATTGTGCTTGTAATAAAATATTTATTTAAAATTTTTTTCTCAAATATTGATTGTCATTGTAAGAATAAAGATCAACAATATCTAATAATTGTTTAGCATTAATATGAATATTATCATTAAATTGTTTTTCAATAATTGTTTAATTAATTGTTTGATAATCTCCTCGAAATAATCTCAAAGCAACTTTTTCTGTAAGAATTTCAACAGATGTTCTGATTTTAAAAACTGATCGAAATATAGGAATTGGTGGACACTATCCTTGCATAGCATGTTCCAATAAAAATGATGCTATAGCTATTGTTAAAATTAACAATTTTTTTGAATAAATATATGCCAATAAACCAGTTATCATTAATAATGATGGAGCATTGAATTCTAATAAATGTTCAGTATCCCATTCATTATTTAATTCTTTTAAACGATTTTCTACTACAATCGAACATTCTTCGCGAGGTTTTTCAAGTATTTTTGATAATCTATTTATTGTTTCTTGATAAATTCGAACATTTTTATCATTCGAAGTAATCGATTCAACACGATCAGAAGTTGGAGGTATCATTATTAACTTTGTTTTATTTTTATAAATATTGTTTATTGAATAACAACCTTTATTACAACAAATAAGAGAATATGTTTTACAATGAAAAATATTTCTTGTTATACATATACACCTATTGACCTTCTGGAACTGAATTATGTTGACGAAAATAAATACTTAAATTATTTATAATAGTATTATTCATATTAAATAAATATCTATAAATATCTCTATTTTATTGACTTCAAACATATTTTCGAAGAAAATATTAACTGTAAATTATAAGTCAAAGTTTTTACGACTTTCCTACCCATCCACTTCCTCCCTATAGCAGACTTTAGCAACCAATGATAACTAGCATCAAAATTATTTCCCAGAAATCTTCAATATTCCAAAGTCTACCTCGAAATTTGAATCATTCGAATAGGTTTGTGAATGTATTAAAGAGTGCCCTTTTTCATTCTTGTATAGATAAAAGTTTCTATTGAAAATATCAACGATTATGGTTAGTCATGCATGCATTAATTTGACATATTTATCAGATGATCAACATAAAAAAGGGCAATTGATTAAGTTCGAACTTTAAAAACTAATCAATATCAGTGTTTTTGTGAATTTATCGACATATATAATTGTGCATTAAGGTCTCCTACTGCAGATATAACGGATATTTGTAAGAATCTTATTTTTCACTTAATTCCATACTTATAAAAATAACGAATGTTAAATTAAGAAAAACAAAATATGAAAATGAAAAATAACCTGCGAATAGCAATGATGCAAACAATAAATAAGATAGATCATTACTCTATCGATTGAATATCTTGAAAAATAACTGTACTCTATGAGAGATTTTTCATTTTAAGTATTTTCTGTTAGTTTAGTCCGACTAAACAAAATATATGAGTTCCACATTTCAATGCCAATGGGGTTGTATTAACAAGTTTTTTAACTTAACATTATCATTGAAATTATTTCATTAAATAGAAAATAATATTTCATCAATATTAAAACATACAACACTTATAATATTAAAGTAATTAAATGGCTAAAAAGATCCATTATTCATCGTTATTATCATTTTTTCGAACAATTTATTAATTCAATTATTTACTTTTTCATCAAATCGAGATTTCGAATATGATTTTATTTTGAAATTATTCGTAAAAAGACAAAACAAAAAAAAAAAATAAAGCAACTATTGAATCTGAAAACCAGAATGAGACTGATCAAGTCACAAAAGAATAGGATTTACTTATGAAATAAATGAATTTATTTTCATCATATTTCCTTAACTAATTAATTATTTTTCTGGTAATATTTATGATTTTAGTATCAAAATAAAGTATTACTCAAGAAATAGCAAAAGTAATGCCTGAGCTATTTTAATTCTTTATAAAAAGATTAAAGAAACATTCTTTCTATACAATCTGATAGTAAAAACAAACTTCGACATTTCCCTCATGTTTGATCATTCTTCAACTAATATAATTATAATGAAATTTTGATAAGAGCTGTTTATTATGAAATGCGACACTAATATTTGATCACATGCTATCTTCGATGCATATCCTCTTTTTGATGTGCTGTTGTGTCTTTTTCTCTCATTTTTTTATTTTTTT